ACTGAGATTCAGAACCTGACAAGGATGCCCACTCTCACCATTGCTATTCAATATAGTCCTGGAAGTTCTAGCCAGAGCCATTAGGCAAGAAAAAGAAATCAAAGGGATTCAAATTGGGAAAGAGGAAGTCAAACTCCCTATCTGCAGATGACATGATTATATATATGTATATAAAGTCTTGCATATATATATATATATATAGTGCAAAAGACTCCACTAAGAGACTATTGGAACTCATGGGAGAGTTTGGTAAAGTAGTAGGATATAAAATCAATACACAGAAATCAACAGCTTTTGTATACACAAACATTGCCACAGCTGAAAAAGAACTAAGATCAATCTCATTCATAATAGGTACAAAAAATCACCTAAATTGACATAAAAATAGAAAAAGAAGTATCCGTGGAGTATAAAAGGAAACATGAACCAAAAAAATCTCTCCTGGGTAGGAGACGGGAAAAAGAGGAAGTGAGACTATGGGTTGCATCACGACTATGGCAGAGACTAAAAAATTAGGGTAGAAGCAGAAATGGCAAACAGTCACGTTTGTTGTGCTTCCTTGGCCCTAGGACAAAAAGACAAATTTGGGAATGCCCTGTGGTGTGATTGAGGCTGGCAGGAATTTCTTTCTTTTCTTTTCTTTTTTAAATAGATTTATTTATTTGAGAGGCAGAGGAACAGAGAGAGGGAGAGATATAGAGAGAGATCTTCCATCTGCTGATTCACTCTCCAAATGGCTGCAACAGCCAGAGGGGCTGATCCGAAGCCGGGAACCAGGAGCTTCTTCCTGGTCTCCCACATGGGTGCAGGGGCCCAAGCACGTGGGCCACCTTCTACTGCTTTTCCAGATCATAGCAGAGAGAGGAGCAGCTGGGACATGAACCAGTGTCCATCTGGGAGGCAGCACCACAGGCGGAGCCTTAGCCCACTACACCACAGCATCGACCTGGGCTGGCAGGAATTTCCTGCAAGGGTGAGGGAATAGCACGGAGTCAGCGCTTTCCCGGCTTCCAGATGGCCCAGCTCCCTCGGCAGAGGCTGTGACACTCAGCTTGGTCTAGCATGGCTGTGACCATCTCACCACCATGACCCTACGCAGAGCGGGACTTGGAAATGAGGGCCTGCTTGGCAAACCCTGGAGGGAGCAGCCGAGCCAGCGCTGAGCTCTTGGGAGCCCTTTCTTCCCTGTTAGGCACAGAGTCCACGGCGGTGGCCAAGGAGAGTCTTGTACCTTTAATGAATCAGTTAATTAATTCCTGCCTCAGTCATCCCATGACTTGCTGGTTTGTCCTGGGGACTAACGCTGACAGCACCACGGTCCCTTTGCAGAGGATGTCAGCGCACTGCAGGTGACATTAATTGCAGCCCTGGGGAGACATGAGCTCAGGCATCTGGAGACCTATAACTGCTGTGGCTGCGGATGGCTCATGTTTTCTGAAGACCACACTTCGCTGCTGGTGCCAGCAACAGAGACCAGCCCCGTGAGTGCTGCCTTAGGACTCACACTCCATGCAGGTCTGGGAGACCCTGCAAGAGGGTGGTGAGGAGCTGGGCAGGGCAGAGGCTTCCCCCTGGCCCCAGGACAGCTTCTAAGCCTCAGACGTCTGGGCTGATAAAGGGCAAGGCAAGTCTGATGATGGGGACCCCCGGTGGCAGGGTTCTTGGCTTGGGAGGGACTGGACATTGCTGCGTCCCGCTTGCTCTGTGATCCCTTAAGGTGGGCACTGGCCATTGGCCCAGACTGCTGAGAACTGAGCTGGGAGAAGTTGACACATGTTGCTGTCTAGAGCGTAGGGTACACATGCAGACTCTGGCCTGCAGGCTGTGTAAACCCGGCGAAACCATGTGGGTCGGCCCTGCCAGGGCAGCTGCAGGTGGGGCTTGAAATTCAATCTGCAACAGGCTAGTTTTTAAGGCGGTATTCTTGAATGGCCCACGCACAAATGAAGGTATGAATATCCAAGTGGCCCTTGGCAGAAAGAGGTTCCCCACCCCTGCAGCAAGATAGATATGTCATCAAATTTCACTCCCTCTCAGAGTAACCCTGTTGATCTTTTTTCTCTCTTGTTTTGGAGATGTTGTGGGATGGATCTTAATTTTGTCTGTGTGAAGACAGAGACACAGAGACAGCGATTGTGTCTGGTCTACACCTGTGATTACCCGTGTGCCAGGGAGCTAATCTGCTCTGGAGTGTCTGCATGGTAAGACACCACGTGCCTCAGGTCGTCTCAGACCCAGGCTGCCTCGTAACTACAACTAACTGAGATCATTTAAAAAGAATCTCTGTGTCTTATTTACTTGCCCTTTGCATCTTGATGTAAGTGAAAACCAACAGAGTGCACAGTCTCCCGCGTACAATCTGAGAAGGTTTGACAAACTGACACACCCATGAAACGATGGCCATAATCAAAACAGTGAGCATTCCCTACACATTTCCTTGTGTTCTTTGTAAACCTTCCTTCCCTCCCTCCCCTCCCCCAGCCACTAGGCAGCTACTGAGCTGCTCTCTCTTGCTGTGGGTGGATTTGCATTTTCCAGAATGTTATATAAATCTGTGGCTTATTTTCTATCCATGTAAAATGTAGTAAGACTATTGTGTGTTTTAAGATTTATTTTATTTATTTGAAAGACAGAGTTACAGAGAGAGGTAGAGAAGACAGAATAAGAGAGAGAGAGAGAGAGAGAGAGAGAGAGATCTTCCATCCACTGGTTCACTCTCCAGATAGCTGCAACGGCCAAAGCTGTGCTGTGAAGCCAGGAGCCAGAAGCTTCTTCCAGGTCTCCCACATGGGAGCAAGGGTCCAAGGACTCAGGCCATCTTCCACTGCTTTCCCAGGACACAGCAGAGAGCTGGATCAGAAGTGAAGCAACTGGGGCTCGAACTGGCTCCCATATGGGATGCTGACACTGCAGGCCGGGGCTTTAACCCACTGTGCCACAGCGCTGGCCAAGAATATCATTTGACACTGAGCATTCAGTGTTGTCTTACATGAGAGGCCTGTGCCAAGCCCTAAAGCTCACACAGAAAGTCACTCATCAGTTGTATCTACTGGTATTTTCTCTGACTGGACCTGAAGCCACTTTTTGGGAAGTGGATTAAAACAGAGAAGCTGGTACCTCTGCCCTAACGTCACCCTTTCTTTATCTGTATTTCTGTCTCCCTACTCACGTAGCTTCTCCATCTCTCTCCAGTGCTTCTCCCTCACAGGACAAGGTCAATCCCAAGTCTATTCTACCTTTTCCAGGTCTATCCTTTTTAAGAAGTAGGGATTTCTCCAGTATTTTTGCAGGCAGGAGCTCTTTCAAATGTCACTGTCCCTGGCTCTATGTACAAAGTCTGACCGCCTGACACCCCTGTATTTGGCTTGTTCTTCATAAGCTCATTCCACTTTTCATTTTTTCATAGTGTTGGCCTCTATGGCACTTGCAAAGCTCAGACTTTGATCTTTGCCTTACTACTGTCCCTGCTGTTCGGTTTTAAAAATTCTTTTTCATAAAGAGAAAACCATGTAGCACCAAGCACATGGGGGAAAAGCAGGCACCCTGAGTTGCATTGTGGGAGTTTTCCTCTACACTGAGATATAGACAGGGCCCCTCAGATCTGGGATCAGCCCCCCATCATCCACCACAAGGGACTGTGACTTTGGACAAAACCTGACTTTCCTGTGCCCCATTGTGATCCGCTGCCTAATGAGAATGGTGACTACCGTATTTGGCTCACTGGATTATCTAGGGATTAAATGGATCAATGTATTTCTGACCCTTAGCGCAGTGCCTGGCACGGGGTCCATGTTCAGTAAACTTCCACTGTATGTTTTTTTTTTCTGGTATTGCAAAGCATGAAGTGGCTGAATCTTCATGGGCCTGGATCACGGCTAGGATTTGGAACTGATGCCTGAGCCCCATGGGTCACCTTTACAAATCCCAGCCTGGGTTTGAGCCGTGAGCTGGAGGTGACGTTTCCTCTCGTGTTCTGGAGTGTTGATCCAAGGGTGTACTCACGTGGGGAAAAGGTGCATGGTCATGACGGCTGAGGTCACCGTGAGAGGTGTTCTTTTGTGTTTCTTCTCTTCTCCTTGTCCCCACTTCCCCCACCAGGGGCTCAGCATTCCCATCTTCAGGTCTCTCTGCTCTTTATGGAGCCCGCATTGCAACCCCAGAGAAAAGGCTGTCTTGACAGACAGGCAGGGCCGGCTGGATGGGTGCTGGAGCAGAAACACCAGCAGCAGGACACGCGGACCGGACCGCGGGATGCAGACGTGGGGGCGGGCATCAGAGTTGCGGGCCCCTCTCCCGGGGCCCCTGCTGCGCTCTCCGACCCAGATCTTCCACCTCTGTTCTCCGGGCTCTGCTGCTTGCTTTCCTTCTTGAGGTTTGCTCTCCCCCTCGTCAGTGCAGCAGCTGAATGGTTCTGTCCCCCAGGAAACTGTGTGGAAATCCTAACCCCCAAAGTGGCAGTGTTAGGAGGTGGGGCCTTTGAGGGGTGCTGGAGGGACTCTTGTGAGAGACTTGTGCCTTTAAAGGGAACCCTGGAGGGCTCCCGTCCCCTCTTTTCACACAGGCACATAAGGAGAGAATCTGTCAGCAGGGCACTGTGCAGGCGGCCTGAGCTCAGCCTTCCAGGCCCAGAGCTGCAAGTCGTGCATCTCTGACCTTCGAGCTACGGGGCTGTGGTCCTTCCTTCCAGCAGCCCAGACCAGGGGGCTGGTGTGACTTCCTGTTGTTGTCTGGTTGTACATTCAGTTCCAGAGTTCTCATTCGGTTCCCTAGTGTGATTCTCCTCATTTACTCACCTTCTTTGCCCCCTTGACCACAGATACATCTGCCTTAAACCCGTCGTCTGCTGAGTCCAGCATCCTGACTCTCTGGGGTTTGGTTTGCATCAGTGGCCTTTTGTCTCAAACGTGGGTTGCATTTCCCCGTGTGCTTCTATGGTTAGCACATGTTTATGGGGTGGTATGCTGCACATGGGGGGACTGGATTCTGTTCCGTTTCTGTAACAGAAGCAGAAAAGAAGTTATTTTTCCTTCAGCAGGCAGTTAACCGGTTAAACACAAACTGCATATTCCAGAATATCGGTCGTGTATTTGGGTTTGACATGGAATGCTTGGCGTCTGCCCCGTGGGCATTCAGGCACGGGCCAGAGACTTGGCACAGGAGTTGCAGTTAAAAAGTGTGGTGCCCCCTCTGTGGCTCTGTTGGTCACGGCTTCCTCCTAACCCTGCAGGCTTTGCAGTCATCCTGGACGCCGCTGCCTCTTCGGTTCTTTTGATCACTAGGACTCCGAGGATCTGTTTTGGCTTTAGTCTCTGAATGTTCTCACCACAGCGCGCCCTCAGGCTCAGAGGCACTCACACCCCTAGAAAACTCACCCTCCTTCCCTGCCACCACATCTCCGGGATCTGCCCACTTTTGTCCACCCATTAGTGCAATTATAGGCAACGTGTTTTACATCCTGTGCCGTCTGTGGTTTCCTTTGCAAGAGAGGTGTTTCAGCAGGATTTTTCCAGCTATACCTGACGCAGAACCTGTCCTTTCTCTCGTATTTTGCTTAGTATTTTTGGCCATGAAAAAAAAAAAAAACAGAATTGGTTTTATGCAGTTAAGCTTCTCAGTCTTTTATCTTCTACTGATTTTGAGCCATAGCTACAAAGCCTTTCTCTCTGCCCAAGTCATGGAGGAATTCACCCGTGTTACCTTCTAAAATTTGCATGGATGGTTTGCTTTAACATTTTAGATCTCTTTCTGCTCTCATCTGTTTCACTACTTGTTTTTTTTCTGCTATACACCTGTATAACACTGTTTTAATTACAGAGACATCGAAGTACGTTTGCATGTGTGGTAGAGCTCTCGCATGGCTCATAGTTCTTCTACACTTTTCCTAACAGTGCATGTTATTTTCTGTTTAAATTTTAGTATCCACTTGCTCAGTTCCAGGAAAAACATTGTGTTATATATACTTGCTTCCTTAAATTTTTCAGTGAAAGTATGGGGAACTAATATCTTTATAATGTTCAGATATCAAATCCAAAAACAAAGCATGCCTTCTACTTGATCATGTTTACTTTGGCTACTGGAGTGTTTACAGTTTGTTAATATCATGCTTTTCTATGATGTTTCCTAAGTTAATTCTTAAAAATTATACATTTTTGTTGGTTTTTAAGTAGAATTTCCTCTACCATGATCTGGTTTTTCTGTGTATGAAGACTGTTGATTTTTATATATTAATTTCATAGATTGTTACTTTTCTTTTTTTACAGATTTATTTATTTGAAAAAGTCAGAGTTACAGAGCAAGGAAAGACACAGAGAGAAAGAGAGGTCTTGCAACAGCTGGTTCACTCCCCAGATGGCTGCAATGGCTTGAGCTGTACCAATCTGAAGCCAGGAGCTTCTTCCAGGCCTCCATGTGGGTGCAGGGGCCCACGGCCTTGGGCCACCTTCTACTGCTTTCCCAGGCTGTAGCAGAGAGCTGGATTGGAAGAGGAGCAGCCAGGTCTCAAACTGGTGCCCATACGGGATGCCAGTGCTGCAGTCCAGGGCGCTAACCCGTTGCACTACAGTGCCAGCCCCTAGGTTGTTACTTTTCTAAACTCACCTATAGTTAACATTGATTAGCTAGAGGCTTCTTACTATTATATCATCTAAGGGTACAGTTCTACTTCTTTTAAAATTGTTGTGCTTACTTATTTTCTCCTGAACAATTACATTAACTCATACTTATAGGACAGCATTAATTGAAGTAGTGGTCTTCTTTCTTTGTTCCTGCACTACTTATTTCTTTTTTTAAAGATTTACTTATTTGAAAGTCAGAGTCACACACAGAGAGAAGGAAAGGCAGAGAGAGAGAGAGAGAGAGAGAGAGAGAGAGAGAGAGAGAATCTCCCATCCACTGGTTGAAACCCCAGTTGGCTGCAACAGCTGGAGCTGTGCCGATCTGAAGCCAGGAGCCAGGAGCCAGGAGCTGGGAGATCCTCTGTGTCTCCCATGTGGGTGCCAGGGGCCCAAGCACTTGGGCGATCTTACACTGCTTTCCAGGCCGTAGCAGAGAGCTGGACTGGAGGTGGAGTTGGATTGGTGGTGCCCATATGGGATGTCGGTGCCACAGGCAGCGGCTTCACCCGCTATGCCACAGCGCTGGCCCCTCTGCACTATTTCTTAATAAAGTGCTCCTGTGTGTGTACATATAAATGTGAACACACTACATATACAAAATACCTCAAAAAGTTCATGCAAAATGGCTAAATATTTTGTTATTGATTTTTTAAATTCCTTGCATAGCCTTTTCATAATATGCACTAAATAAACTTATCTTTTCATCTCATTTTCCATGTACGCTTTGAAGTCTCCTCACAAATAATCACACTAAGGATATCCGTACATTCCTTTATCTTGTAGTGTCTTTTTAATCATGTTGATATTTTGTCAAAACTTTTTTTAATTTCTTAAAATTTTATTTATTTGAGAGACAGACAGAAAGAATGAAACAGTTACACAGAAAGAGCTTTCATATGCTGGCCCAATCCCCAAATGCCCACAGTGGCTGGAGGGCCAAAGCCCAGAACCAGGAACACAATCCCGGTCTCCCACGTGGGTGGCAGGGACCCAGCTACTTGACCGTCACTGCTGCCCCCCAGGGCGCACATGAGCAGAAGCTGAATGGGAGCTGAATGGGATTTTAAGTGCGGGCTTTGACATGGTTTAACTGTGAGGCCAATCTCACTATTCCAAGTGATCAATTTCAGTTCACAATTGATCATAATGAAAGGACTAAGAGTCAAAGGGAGCACATAAACAAGTCTAGTACCTGCTAACACTAACCGATAGAATAAAGGGGAGAGTGATCCAACATGGGAAGTGAGATACTCAGCAGACTCATAGAATGGCAGATGTCCTAAATAGCACTCTGGCCTCAGAATCAGCCCTAAAGGCATTCGGATCTGGCTGAAAAGCCCATGAGAGTATTTCAGGCATGGAAAGCCAAGACACTCTGGCAAAAAGATCTCTATGAGTGAGATCCCAGTGGAAAGAACAGGTCTTCAAAGAAGGAGGTACCTTTCTCTGAAGGGAGGAGAGAACCTCCACTTTGACTATGACCTTGTCTAAACATGATAAGAGTCGGAGAACTCAGAGGGCTTCCATAGCCTCGGAAACTCATGACTGGAGCATAGGGAGATTACTGATGCCATAGACAGGAGTGTCAATTGGTAAAGTCAACAACAGGAGTCACTGTGCACTTACTCCTCATGTAGGATCTCTGTCCTTAATGTGCTGTACATTGAGATTTAATGCTATAACGAGTACTCAAACAATATATTTCACTTTGTGTTTCTATGGGGGTGCAAATTGTTGAAATCTTTACTTAATGCATACTAAACTGATCTTCTGTAAAAAAAAAAAAAAAGAAATTATCAATTCCCAACTTGACTCTCACTGGGATTAAACATGACAATAGGTCTGATCTGATTTCATCATCATTTAAAAAAAATCATCTATTATTTTTCACTTTATGTTTCTGTGTGGGAGCAAACTGTTGAAAAACTTACTTAATGTATACTAAGCTGATCTTCTGTTTATTAAGATAATCAAAAATGAATCTTGATGTGAATGGAAGGAGAGAGGGAGTGGGAAAGGGGAGGGTTGTGGGTGGGAGGGACGGTATGGGGGGGAAGCCATTGCAATCCATAAGTCGTACTTTGGAAATTTATATTCATTAAATAAAAGTTAAAAAAAAAAAACTGTGAGGCCAAACACCTGCCCCATTTTTTTTTTTCAAAGTAGTAGGGGAGACAGTCACATGAATTTTCTTCCTAATATCAGTATGGCAAATTTTATTGATAAATGTTGTAATATTTAGCTGTCCTTACATTACTGGTATAAATCTCCCATGGTCATCGTATATGATTTTCTTAATATCTTTTCTTTGTCCTAGGAGGTATGATGAAGAATGCTTTAAATTTCTAAGCACAAAAATTTCTAAACATATTTATATTTTTTATATGTATATATATAGTCTATCTTTATCTCAAATTGCTGCAATACACACAGCAATTTAGAGACATGGCCTAAAGCACAGGCAACTCATATGGGCGCCAGTTTGAGTCTCTGCTGCTCCTCTTCTGACCCAGAACACTACTATGGCTTGAGAAAGCAGTGGAAGATGGCCCAAGTGGTTGGGCCCCTGAACCCACGTGGGAGACCCAGAAGAAGCTCCTGGCTCTTGGCTTCTGATTGGCGTAGGTCTGGCTGTTGACACCATTTAGGGAGTCTGAGGCCCGAGGACTGATGGCTTTTCCTGGAATGTGGTGAATATTCGGGAAATCACTTTGATATGAGAGAGAAGACTTGACTTTGGGGATTACGTCAGGACACAGTGAAGGACTGGCAAACGGGTAAGCAATGGCCCAGTAGCTGGCAGGGCGGCTCCCTGAATGGCGATGCCCAGCTTCCTGGTGGAGTTGTGGCCGTCGATGGGGTGGTCCTCAGGACAGTGTGTGAAGGGCTGAACGTCCCAGTTAGAACCAGGACTGTCGGAGTCAGCCCATGCTGAGCTCTAACATGGGGACCTTCGAGTCAGTAACCTGCCCCTGCGAGGCCTGAGAATGGATTTCGGTGACTTTATCCTCAGGCTGTTTTTCCTGGCCCAGAATGGGATTGGGGTCCTGGGGAATACCCTTCTCCTCTCAAGCTACGCCTCCATGGCCTGTGCTGGCCACTTGCTGCGGCCCACACATCTGATCATGGCCAACATGGCCATGGCCAACTTCCTGGTTCTTTTCTTCAAGGGGATCCCTCAGATGATATTTACCTGGGGAGTGGTTTACGTCCTTGGGGACGCTGCGTGTAAACTTGTCTACTACATCCACAGAATGGCCCGGGGCCTCTCTCTCTGCACCACTTGCCTCCTGAGTGTTTTCCAGGCACTCACCGTCAGCCCCGCAGGTGGCGGGTGGATGCGGCTCAAGGACATAGCTCGGAGGAAGGTGCGTTTCTCGTGCCTTCTGTGTTGGGTTTCCAACCTGCTGATGAACCTCTTTATTCCTCTGAAAATACAGGCCCGTCCGCGTGGCCTCAACTCCACGAGCATGCAGCATTATGGACTGTGCTCTTCCGAGATCCCTAAGACGAATGCTGCAATATACGTGGTCCTGTTGACCTTCCCAGACGTGGCATTCATGGTGCTCATGGCTGCGGCCAGCGCCTACATGGTGCTTCTCCTGCACAGGCACCACAAGCGGGTGAAGCATGTGCACAGCCACAGCGGCGCCCACAGACTCTCCCCAGAGACAAAGGCCACGCACACCATCCTGCTTCTAGCAGGCACCTTCACTTTCTTCTACTTCACCAACTCTGTCCTCACAATTTCTGATATTTATTTTTCCCAGTCTCACCTCTGGCTGCAGCATGTGCCCACCTTTGTGGCGGCCTGTTATCCCACCCTCAGCCCCTTTATACTGATGCTTCGAGATCCCCGGGCGCTGACTCTGTGTTTTTAAGTGGAGAGAAAGGAATTGCAACTTACAGATGATCTCACTTGCAATGGTTTCTCTTTCAAATCACCTGGTTATTCCCTTACTCATATAATGACTTGTGGATGTCTAGAATGTAAAGACAGCACTCAAAATACAATGATAGAGAGATTTGTAAGAGGGGCAGTGCTGTGGTGTAGTGGGTAAAGCCACCACCCTCAGTGGTGGCGTCCCATGTGAGCGCCAGTTCGAGTCCTGGCTGCTCCACTTCAGATCCAGCTCCTTGCTAATGCGCTTGGGAAAGCAGTGGAAGATGGCCCAAATGCTTGGGTCTTGCTCCTGTGTGAGAGACCCCAAAGAAGCTCCAGGCTCCTGGCTTCAGATCCTCTCTGCTCTGGCCATTGTGGCCATTTGGGGAGCAAACTAGTGGATGGAAGACCTCTCTCCATCCCTCTTTCTCCATCTCTCTCTCTTTCTCCCTCTGTCTTTCAAATAAATAAACACATATTTTAAAAAAGAGGGAGACGTGTATGATACTGGCATTGCCGTGTGGAAGCTTTCATCTTCACTTCCAAGTCAGATGTATAACCAAACAAACACAGTCCATCTATTAACATTATCCAGCTGCATTCTGATCGTATTTTTCCTTTGTAATATTTTATGTAAGCATGGAGGTAGATTGGGTAGAAATAATTTTGGGAACATATTAGAAGTTCTAATGATTTACAGGACAATTATTAATTGGATTCAGTTTTATATAATGATAAACAGCAATGACTTTAAGATTTAGTTCAAGTATCAAGGAATTAATCCAATAAAACTGTACAAGACCTCTATCAAAGACAGTAACTTTACTCAGACGTTAGTGAAGAGCCGAATAAATGGAGCAATGCACTGTCCATGGACTGTAAAACTTCACAGTGTAACAAGCTCATGACTTGCTAAAATGGTTTACAAATTCCATGTCCAATGCAAATCTTAAAAAGTTCTGTGAGGGGCCGTTGCTGTGGCACACTAGGTTAATTCTCCTCCTGTAGCACCAGCATCCCATATGGGCGCCAGTTCTAGTCCTGGCTGCTCCTCTTCCAATCCAGCTCTCTGCTGTGGCCTGGGGAAGCAGCAGAGGACGGCTCAAGTGCTTGGGCCCCTGCACCCATGTACGAGAGTGGGAAGAGGCACCTGGCTCCTGGGTTCGGATCGGCAAAACTCCGGCTGTTGTGGCCATTTGGGGAGTGAACCAGCAGAAGGAAGACCTTTCTGTCCTCCCTCTCACTGTCTGTAACTCTACCTCTCAAATAAATAAAATCTTTTTTAAAAAGTTATATGAAAATACAAAGGGTCAAAAGAACAAAGAGACTATAGAAAATGAGTGGTATGAGGCCTTGCTCTATGAGATTTTTAGAACTAGAATGCTCTCATGGTTGAGTCGGGGTAATGTTGACCCAGGGACAAGCAACAGAATCTTGGAGAACTGGAGTGCTGAGTCATCACTGTGGGGATAGGAACACTTAACAGACTTATGGAGTGCTGACTCATCACCATGCGGATATGAACACTTAACTTGTGACAGGGATGGCACGAATGGGTGGTGAGGAAGAGACTGTAAGTCATGTAAGTCATACTGTTGGGACAGTCGCCCGTACAGGGTGGAAAAAAGCTGACCCTTACATCACAGTGCTCACAAAACACAAATGTCTGGGATTCAGGATAAGTCACACCCTCTGCTGTACTCTCTGTGGTAAACGAATTCTTCCCAATCCAGGTTAGTTCTCTAATGATTGACACTGATTGGAGTACATGGGAGATCCAGCAGAGGTTGCGCATGAAATAAGTCTCACAAAGAAAGGCACAGATTTGAGATTCCCATTCAGACTCCATGGTAGTCTTCAGAGGTGAGCAGCCTGTATTTATTTTTTTGGTAATAGTTTTGCAAAATTGTGGTATAATTTGCACAATAGCATGCATCAGTTTTCATCTCTAATTTGATGAGTTTTACAAACACTTACCTTTGCGTAGCTATCAGTTGAATCCATCTGTAGATGTCCATGAACCCAGAAAGTCAATCACACTTCCCTTTCTCATCTTCTGTTGCCTTGAGACCACTTCTGTGTTAGGTAACCACATTGCAGTAATTTGCACAAATGGAGTTACCCATGGGCGCTCTGATTCCTGCCTGCTGTCTGACTTAATTCACGGAGAGTAATGACTCTGTATATCATTAGTTCATCCCTTTCTGTTGCTGAGCGACACTCAGGTATAGGCTGTAATATGCGTGTCCATCCTCCAGTTATGGACAATTTTAGATTTTCTGGTATGGCTTGGATATCATTAATAAAGGTACAATGTGTATTCATAACTCAAGTACACCCCCCAAAGAACTGAAAGTAGGACCTGGGGATGACTGGACTGCCATGGTCACAGCAGCATAATTCACAACAGCTGAACTCTGGAGACGACCAAAGGCCCCCTGGTAAATGAATGGATACACATTCTGTGGTACACACAGGCAAGGCAGTGCCACGTGGTCTCAAAAAGGAAGGCACTTCTGACATTTGCTACAACGTGGATGACCTTGCGGACATTATACTGAGTAAAATAAGCCAGCTGCAGAAAGACCGATCCTGTACGACTCCATGCACACGAGGCAACTACAGAGGCCAATGGAATGGTGGCTGCCAGGAGTTGCAGTTACTGTTTCATGGTATAAAGTTTCAGTTTTACAAGACGGAAAGAAGGTTGGTGGTGATGGGTGCACAGTACTGTAAAAGCATTTACCATTTTATGTACTTAGTTTCATTTTATAGGAAGAGACAGAAGTCCTCTCTCTGCTGGTTCACCTCACACATAGCCAGGACTGAGCCAGGCTGAAGCAAGGAGCCCAGGACTCCATCTAGGTCTCCCAGAGTTGGCAGGGACCCAAGCAATGGAGCCACCATCTGCTACCCCCCAGCATGCACAGTAGTAGGAGCTGAAACTTGAGCCAGGCACCCATCTACAGGATGTGGGCATCCCAGGCAGTGACTTAAGCACTACACAAATGAGGTCCCATGAAGGCATTTAATTCCACTAAACTGTATGCTAAGATGGTAAATTTGATGTTATGTGTATTCTACCACACTAGTCTTTTTAAAAGGCTCTGAGATACAGTGCTGCAGCCCAAAGCATCATGCATGGAAGTGACTCCACAAGTCTCACTCACTAGAAAGAAGAGGCGCCTGACTGCGGCGCTGTCCTCACCGACTGCCACTAGGTTGCTGTAGTTCGCGAGCATTACTTCCTTGTACAGGTCCCTCTGGTAGGGGTTCAAAAACTGCCACTCCTCCCTGGTGAAGTCCATGGCCACATCCTCGAAGGACATTCTCTGTAATCGTCAATTTCAATGCAAACTGAGGTGGATATTAATAAGTGATATGGAAGAGGGGCAAGGATGTGTGATCATTTTCCCCATGGTAAATCATACACACTGTCATAAACCACACGTCCATGCAATTCCACTTACTCTCCTTAACTTAAAAGACTAACCCAACATTTGCATGGATAGGAAACACTGCACTGGTAGTAAGAATATCCACAATTTCTTCAGTATTGTGAAGAGCTACCAATCTAAGTGTCCATCAAGGGGCAGGCGTGACAGGTTAAGCCACTGCTCGGGATGCCCTCATCCCTTGTCAGTGCCAGTGAGTCCCGGCACCTCTGCTTCCAATCCAGCTTCCTGCTAACGCATCCTGGGAGGCAGTGAATGGCGGTTCAAGTGCTTGAGGCCCTGCCAGCCGTGCGGGAAACTCAGACTGAATCCCAGGCTCGTGGTTCAGCCTGGCCCAGACCTGGTTGGTGCAAGCACTCAGGGTGTGAGCCAGCAGACAGAACTGCACATGCACGGGCACACTCTCTGCCTCTCTCTGTGGCTCTGCCTGTCAAGGAGACGAAAAGAACTAACAACAAAAAGTCCAACAAAAGCAGACCGAATTAAATTATAGCATTTCCATGCTATAGTAAAACACATAAATGCTGAAGTCAACTAGATAGATGTATATATACAGATAGAAATAAACTTCAAGGTATTCTCTTACATGGAAAAACTAAGCCCCCAAATAATATAATCCAGGACATGGAAAAGTCATAATATATGCCATTATATACACATAATGTGTATAGAGAAATACATACAATTATAGTCTGTAACACGCAATCACAGAAAGCAACTGGATGGAATCTCAAAACTATTACCATTTGCTACCCTTTGGGTTAGGGTTTGGTTGGAAGAGTGAAAAGGAATATTCTCTTGGGTGCTTGAACCTCTTGCATGTGTTATAGCTATGCATCACTTGAGCAATTAAAACTACAAAGACAGTGGCTGGGGTTGAAGGGTAGCAGCTGGATGCCACTTGTGAGGCTGGCATCCCATATCAGGGTGCTAGTTCAAGTCCCGACTGCTCTGCTTCTGATCCAGCTTCCTGCTAACACATCTAGAAAGGTAATGGGCTGGCGCCGCGGCTCACTAGGCTAATCCTCCGCCTGCGGCGCTGGCACCCCGGGTTCTAGTCCCGGTCTGGGTGCCGGATTCTGTCCCGGTTGCCCCTCTTCCAGGCCAGCTCTCTGCTGTGGCCCGGGAAGGCAGTGGAGGATGGCCCAAGTGCTTGGGCCCTGCACCCCATGGGAGACCAGGAGGAAGCACCTGGCTCCTGGCTTCGGATCAGCACAGCGTGCCAACCACCGTAGTGGTCATTTGGGGGATGAACCAATGGAAGGAAGACCTTTATAACTCTTCCTATCAAAAAAAAAAAAAAAAAAAAAAAAAGAAAGGCAGTGGAAGATGGCCCAAGTACTTGGGTCCCTAACACTCATCTGGTAGATCAGAATGGAGTTCCTAGCTGTTGTACCCATTTGGGGACCTTCTTTCCCTCCTTCTATCTCTGACATGCTACCTTTCAAATAAATAAATCTTAAAAAAAAATAGACCAAAAGAAAAATAATTGGTACTGACTTTATTTTTTGAACTTGGGTTAGAAATATGCAAAAAGAGGGGCTGGTGTTGTGGCAAATGGGCTAAGTCCCTGCAGGCTACACTGGCATCCCTCATGGACGCCAGTTTGTGTCCCGGCTGCTGCACTTCCAATCCAGCTCCCTGCTAATGCAGCTGGGAAAGCCACGGAAGATGGCCCAAGTGCTACCATGAGGGCGACCTGGATGAAGCTTCTGGTTCTGACCTGGCCCAGCCCTGGCCATTGGAGCCATTTGGAGAGTGAAACAGTACAAGGAAGATTTCTCTCTCTCTCTCATTCTATCTCTGTATTTCTGCCTTTCAAATAAATAAATCTTTAAACAAAAATCTGAAAGGAGAAGTGTCATTATCTATATGCTCAGTGATACCAAATAATGGAACTTTCAGCTGTGTCCTGCCCAATCAACAGCAAGGATTCGTCTTCACGGAGGCGCACTCACAGGCGAAGCAGTCCGTTCATCCTACTGGATAACTCGGTGTTCTTCCAGGGCAAAGTCGGACCTGCAGAAGGCACTACTATCAAGGCACACTTTCTGAAGAATTTTACCTGATCAAGTCCTGCTTTGGCTAAGCCACTTAGCTGATTCAGGATGAAAAGAAGAAAAAACCAAGATGGCTCCTGCCTTTATTACAAGGTTTACATTGAGGACATTGCCTACCACAAAACCTCTCTGTAGAGCTAGCAAAAGAAATCCCTCAAGATGAAGAGCGATGAAATGCTGGCCTCCTGAGAGGAACTGCCTTGCCTTCGGCTCACAGACACTGAAAATCATAGATTTCTTTATTAATCTGAAAGGCAGAGTTACAGAGAGAGAGAGGTCTTCCATCTGATGGTTCACTCCCCAGATGGCCACAATGGCCAGAGCTGCGCCAATCCGAAGCCAGGAGCCAGGGGCAGCCTCTGGGCCTCCCACGTGGGTGCAGGGGCCCGAGGACTTGAGCCATCTTCCACTACTTTCCCAGGCCACAGTAGAGAGCTGAATCAGAAGTGGAGCAGCCGAGACTAGAACCGGAGCCCATATGGGATGCCAGCACTGCAGGCGGTGGCTTTACCCACTATGCCACAGGACTGGCCCCCACATTTTTCCTGATCATTATGGCTGCTAAGAAATAAAGACACAAATTCAAAGCTAAGGAACCCGCAGAGTCTTACATACTCATTTATCTATACTCCAACGTTAAGAATTTTCTTTTTAAAGATCAAATCATTTTTAAAGTTTATTTTCTTATTTCCATCTACTTGAAAGGCAGAGTTCTTGCACCCACTGGTTCACGCCGCAAAGCATCCCACGTGGTTGCTTAACCCCCTGTGCCACAACACTTACCTTCCCTTCCTAATTATGTCCTGACTGTAAGATTATACTTTATTTTCCAACAGATCCCCGTTTTTACCAACATACACTCTTTAATTTAGCTTGATACTTCTTATCTTTCACAGATTCACTGGGAAACCAAAGGTCAGTAAAACAAACCTCGCCTTGGCCTTGGCCATTTCCTTCTGTACCTTGGAAAGGCCCAGTGATTCTAAGATGTGCTGTCTTCTGTCTGCTGTGGACCTGCCCAGGTGTGGTCAGTTATCTCAAGTCCAGCTGCAGCCATGAGCAGTGACCTCTCAAGCCTGGAAGCTTGTTCTTCTACGGAAAATGTCTTGTTTCTGTAGACCAGGACCTGTGGATTTAGGACACAATTCAGGTAGAAGAGGATGTGTACTTGGGACTATAACCCTCTAATTGATGGCTAATCTGAACTCACCTTAATATCAGGGCCTCGAATTCCATCCATGTGTGCCACAGAAGGGACAAGAAGGCCTCGTTTCAGAAAAGTCAGACTAGACGAGACGGCAAACAAAAACCACTTCATACTCTTGTCCACTGCTGAGTTCTCATGGAGATCAGTGGTTGGAAAGGCAACGCAGGAACAGAGCAACTCTGGAAAATGACTTAAAACCGCCTATGCTGGCCGGCGCCGCAGCTCACTAGGCTAATCCTCCGCCTTGCGGTTCCGGCACACCAGGTTCTAGTCCCAGTCGGGGCGCCGGATTCTGTCCCGGTTGCCCCTCTTCCAGGCCAGCTCTCTGCTGTGGCCAGGAGTGCAGTGGAGGATGGCCCAAGTACTTGGGCCCTGCACCCCATGGGAGACCAGGATAAGTACCTGGCTCCTGCCATCGGATCGGCGCGGTGTGCCGGCCACAGTGCGCTGGCCATGGCGGCCACTGGAGTGTGAACCAACGGCAAAAGGAAGACCTTTCTCTCTGTCTCTCTCTCACTGTCCATTCTGCCTGAAAAAAAAAAAAAAAGAAAAGAAAAACAAACAAACAAACAAAAAACACAAAAAACCGCCCATGCCCATGTGCTGCTAACGGCGCCTGAAGACCAAGCATCTTTCGTTTAATCCTCAACACCGCTGTGCAAGGTGCTCATATCCCACCTCAGACACAGCGCACTGGGCCTGGCGAGGTGACAGGTGTTGTGTGGGCTGCCGCCCTCCCTAAGAGGCAGTGTCAGAATCTGACGCCACGCCCACTTCCTGCTGTGTGACAGCCCCCTCTGGCAACAAGCGGCACAACGTGAACTTCTTTCTCCTCCTCACTCAGTGGCCCAGCAGGTGAACACCCTGGCCTGCAGTGCCGCCGGTTCGAGACCCGGCTGCTCCTCTTCCGATCCAGCTCTCTGCTATGGCCTGGGAAAGCAGTGGAAGATGGCCCAAGTCCTTGGGCCCCTGCACCCACGTGGGGAGACCTGGAAGAAGCTCCTGGCTCCTGATCAGCTCAGCTCTGGCCGTTGCGGCCATCTGGGGAGTGAACCAGCGGACAGAAGACCTCTCTCTCTCTGCCTCTCCTCTGTGTAACTCTGACTGTAAAATAAATAAATAAATCTTAAAAAAATAAGTCTATAATGCAAAAAAAAAAAAAAAAAAGGTTTTCGCCCCCCAGGGCACCCACCCCGCCATGCAGCGGTCCCACAGGCTCCCCAAGGACCTGCAGCCGCCGCCTGCATCCCCTAGGCGTGCTCAGCGAGGGCGGGGCTGCAACAGCAGCGCCTCTCCTCCCAGAAGCGGCAGGTGCGGGATCCGTCTTCCCACGAGCCAGGCTCTGGGGGCTCGCTCGCAGCTCCCACTCCGGGGACGCCAACATCAGGTCGTCAACCTGCAGCCCACCCGGTAGCCCCGCGCGGCGCCCCGAAACCAAACCCCCGGCGAGAAACGCCCCCACCGCTTCCCGCGACACGGACCCCACGCGCTCCCGAACGCGCCCCCTCTCCCGCACCGCGGCTTCCCGCGTCCGGAAACGCCCCCAGGACCCAGCCCAGACGGACCGAGGACCTCCGGGGTCTCCACGTCGGCGGCGACTCGCAGAACCCACCTCCTTAGACCTCGGTATCCGCTGCCCGGCAACCGAATGGCGCGCCGCGCGCGAGGCTCTCGGGAGCCCCGAGAACGGCGGCCGACGAGGGCCAGAACGCGTCGTCCCGGAGACCGGCGGCTCGCGCGCGGACGCCCCTTTATGACGTAATGGAGCTGCGCCCGCCTCGAGGATGCCTGCTGCGGAGTCGCTGTTCCAGCCGGCTCGTAGGATGTCTGAAAACTTGGCCCCGCTTCACGCGGGAAGCCGGACGTCCACGAGCAGTGGCAGAGGACCCGTTTCAGCGCAGCTGCAGCCTAGCTGAGCCACCGCCCTGGACTTTAGCATGGGCCGGGGTCCGCCCGCGCTGCGTTGGTTCTCAGGGCGGGAGGCTGCCCACGTCCCTGCGGGGAGGGTGGGCGTCGTCCGCTGCCCTTAAGTCCACACTCTGATCCCAGGAAGGCCTGACGGAAGCCACGGGGTGCGGTCATCCCGTGGGGGCCGGGGGCGGCCTGGGCGTGCCCCTGGCTGCAGCGCGCTGGGTGGACGACGCCCCAGCTTCTGAGGGTGCCGGGGGTTTAGGGAAGAAGGCCCCGAGGAAGGAGCGAGTCCCCGCGTTCGGGAGAAAGCGCAGTGAGAAGGGGGCCGGGAGCGCTGACACCCGGAGGTGGGAGATGCCGAGTCAAGGGCTCTGGGTGTGCCCCGTGTTGAGGCCCGGACTGGGCAACCAGACGGATGGACCCCGGCGCCAAACCCACTTCCTGTAGTTCTGCAACCGGGCTCGTTCGCCAACGAGGGTTTCTAAAATGCCCACCGAGTGCCGAGCACTGTTCTGGGTGCTGCGGATACAAAAGCTGTGAACATAGACCAAAGGAAAAAAAAATGACCGTTTTTCATGGAGATTTGCATTCTACTGGAAGCTTCACAGGAATGCTGATCCGAATCCTTCGTGACAGCAAGCTTAATCGTGATTCCCATGAGCAGTAAGACCTTAGAGGGCAAAAGGGTGAGTCACCGTCACATCCTCTTACTCTTCCCTCAGAACCAACTCTGCCACCCGATAAAAGGTCCAACTTAGGAGAAATCAAAGAAATGCAAGATATCAGCCAAATAGAATACCTTGTGTGGCAATTTCGTCAGATTAAGGAAACTAAGGATCTCCAGCTTTGCCATACTTGGGGTGACAAAATGTTCATTTTTGTACATTTATATGGGAGTATAAGCTATTATTTTAATATGTACTGAAGACTTTTTTTTTTTTTAAGATTTATTTATTTGAAAGTCAGAGTTACACAGAAAGAGGAGAGGCAGAGAGAGAGGTCTTCATGCACTGGTTCACTCCCCAGTTGGCCACAACGGCTGGAGCTGAGCCGATCCGAAGCCAGGAGCCAGGTGCTTCTTCTGGATCTCCCACGCGGATGTAGGGGCGCAAAGACTTGGGCCATCTTTACTACTTTTTCAGGCCATAGCAGAGAGCTGGATCAGAAGTGGAGCAGCCGGGTCTCAAACCGGCACCCATATGGGATGCCGGCGCCGCAGGCATCAGCTTTACCCACTACACCACAGCGCCGGCCCCCAAAAGATTTCTTTTAATCTTAATCGGCATGGTGATAGAATGCAAACATGTAAATGACTGCCATTAAGGAAAAGAAGTATATATTCAGAGCGCCATAGAATTAGGCAGGGCAGGCTATTCAAGGAAGTCACATAAAACACCAGGATTAGTCATGAGACAGAGGGAAGGAGAGAGAAATGTGGACAAGAGCCTTGTGTGGTATGCATGAGAAGGAACGTGGACTGAGAGTTGGCTAGTCTGAATACTTTAGTGGGCTCTGGGGTGTAGGGTTTGCCTGCGTGGGAGTAGATGACCCCAAGAAAGCTTGATAATGAATATGGTGGGATCTGGATTGGCTGATTTGCACATAAAAGGTGCCAGTCCTCTGCTATGTCTAGGAATTAGCTATCCTTAGAAAGGGCGGTCTGTCCAGGCTTGGCAAAACCCTAGATAACAAAGCATCAGAATAAAAAACATTATCATTAATAATGATACAGTCTCTCTAGAAGAAAATCTGTGTTAAAATGCAATATGAGGAGATGTTAGGGAGACGGACGTGAGACTGGTGTGAGGAGATGTTAGGGAGACGGACGTGAGACCAGGTGTGAGATGTTAGGGAGACGGACATGAGACCGGTGTGAGGAGAAAATGAAAAGTCTGGGAAGGAGCCTCAATGTCTTTAAGTAACTCAGCGTTTGTAACTCAGAAGTCCCCCGCCTGGTGACTGGAGGGCAGGTTCCATGCCTGGCAGTCCTCCTGTCTGGCGTTGCACCTGGTGTTCTCCCCGTCTGATTACACTAGTCTAGGGGATATCCTGAGCCTGTGAAGCCTTCCAGAGAGGGCTGGGGAGGAAAAAGATTGGCGGCAAGCAGATATTCCGTACCCGTAGAAACCTCAGTCTGAGTGCAGATGAGGTTCTGCCAGCAGATGTGGCCATGTGTGTGTGTGTGTGTGTGTGTGTGTGTTTTTGCCTCTCAAATAAATTAATTAAAAAAAAAAAATAGGGGCCAGTGTTATGCTGCAGTGGGTTAGCCCTGCCTTCCTGCATCCCATAATGAAATGCCCAATTCAATTCCTAGCTATTCTGAGCTTTCAATCAAGCTTCTGGCTAATGTGTCCGGGTGGCAGGAGATGATGGCTCAAGTGCTTGGGTCCCTGGGAGACTCATATATAATTCCTGGCTCTTGGCTTTGGCCTGGCCTAGCCCCAGTGGTTGCAGGCATTTGAGCAGGGAACCAGTAGATGGAATCTCTCTCTCTGTGTGTGTGTGTGTGTGTGTGTGTGTGTGTGAGTGTGCGTCCTTCTGTCTCTGTCACTCTGTCTTTCAAATACATCTATAAATGTTTTTAATAAATTATTTTATTTTGAAATATTTGTAGGTTCCCAGGAAATTGCAGGCATCCTTATACTTTTCCCCCAGTACAAAGGTATCAACTTACATATCAGAGACAGGCAATTGACAGGATAATCCATAAATTTATGCAGAGGACCAGTGATACACAATCCCACTAATGTTCATTTGTATATGGTTCTATGCCATTTGGTTACATGTATAGGTTTGTATAACCACTGTTATAGGCAAAACAGACTATCCCAACAACACAGAAATCCCTTGTACTGTCCCTTTGTGTTAACATCCATACTCTGCTTGCCGTGTCCCTATTTCCTGTCAACCACTAATCTGTTTTCCATCCTTGAGTTTCATTTAAAAAATGCTACACAGTTGGAACATAATACATATTTTGAACCTTTTGAGATTTGCCCTTTTTCCCCACTATGAAATTCCCTTGAGAGTAATCCCAATTTATTAGGTGCATTGATAGTCCCTTTTTATACCCGCAATGTTGCATACTTTGCAAGATTCCTTGATATGAATGTGCCATGGCTTGTTTAACCAGTAACACACTTAAGGATATTCGTTTGTGTCCAGTCTTTGGCTACCACAAAGAAATCTGCTATCAACATCTGTGCACAGCTTATTACATGTACTTAAGTTTTTATTTTCTGAGATAAATGCCTAAGAGTATGATTGCCAAGTAATGTGTGTTTGTTTTCAAAGAAACTGCCAAGTTAGCTTCTCCCCTCTTTTCTACTCTCCACTTCTGCTAGTTAACTGCCAGAGAAGACTGAATGAAAAGCCAGGACATTTCATCCATCCATTTTCTTTTACTTTCATTTTAGCTACTGCAGGTAACAACCAGGAAATTTTGGATTTTACTTTTTGTCCTATTAGTTTGCATTTAAATTCATTTCTAAATTCTACTCCAGCCTTTCCCATTTTATAATAGCTGCTGCTTTATATATCGGTAGCTACCCAGGAATCAGTGCTTCCTCATCTCCCACCTTTTTATCTTTTCTCTTCCCAAACCACTTTTAACTTTTATTTAATAAATATGAATTTCCAAAGTACAACTTTTGGATTATAGTGGCTTTTTCCCCCCATAACCTCCCTCCCACACGCAACCATCCCATATCCCGCTCCCTCTCCCATCCCATTCACATCAGGATTCCTTTTCAATTATCTTTATATACAGAAGATCAATTTAGTATATACTAAGTAAATATTTCAACAGTTTGCACCCACACAAAAACACAAAGTATAAAGTACTATTTGAGTACTAATTATACTGTTTATTCACGTAATACAACACATTAACGACAGAGATCCTACATGGGGAGTAAGTGCACAGTGACTCCTGTTGTTGATTTAACAATTGACACTCTTGTTTATGGCGTCAGTAGTCACCCAAGGCTCTTGTCATGAGTTGCCAAGGCTATGGAAGCCTTTTGAGTTTGCCAACTCTGATCTTATTTAGACAAGGTCATAGTCAAGGTAGAAGTTCTCTCCTCCCTTCAGAGAAAGATACCTCCTTCTCTGATGGCCTATTCTTTCCACTGGGATCTCACTCACAGAGAACTTTCATTTCGTTAGTTAGTTAGTTTGTTTTTTGCCAGAGTGTCTTGGCTTTCCATGCCTGAAATACTCTCATAGGCTTTTTAGCCAGATCTGAATGCCTTAAGGGCTGATTCTGAGGCCAGAGTGCTGTTTAGGACATCTGCCATTCTATGAGTCTGCTGTATATCCCGCTTCCCATGTTGGATCATTCTCTCCTTTTTAATTCTATCAGATACTATTAGCAGACACTAGTCTTGTTTATGTGATCCCTTTGACTCTAAATACTATCATTATGATCAATTATCAACTGAAACTGATCACTTTGACCTGGGAGTCGGGTGAAAGCAGGCTTGAGGCGAGCAGCCTGCAGACTCATTTATTACAGTTGGAACAACATCTTATATAGCCAAGACCAGCCAATCTGGTCAAGGAGTGGTCTATGCCCCAACCAATCACAGCCTGTTGCCAGGCAGGCTCCATTGCCAGGTGGGTTTCAAAGCCATTCCTGAGTAACTGACACTTGCTTGCCAGTGGCCACCTTGGCATGGCCTTCTCATTCTACCACAGGGTTATATTCAGGTTTCTGAGGAATCTCCAGACTGACTTCCATAGTGGCTTGACCAGTTTGCATTCCCACCAACAGTGGGTTAGTGTCCCTTTTCCCCCACATCCTTGCCAACATCTGTTGTTGGTAGATTTCTGTATGTGAGCCATTCTAACCGGGGTGAGGTGAAACCTCATTGTGATTTTGATTTGCATTTCCCTGATTGCTAGTGATCCTGAACATTTTTTCATGTGTCTGCTGGCCATTTGGATTTCCTCTTTTGAAAAATGTCTATTGAGGTCCTTGGCCCATCTCTTAAGTGGGTTGTTTGTTTTGTTGTTGTGGAGGTTCTTGATCTCTTTGTAGATTCTGGTTATCAGTTGCATAATTTGCCAATATTTTTTCCCATTCTGTCGGTTGCCTCTTGACTTTCCTGACTGTTTCTTTTGCAGTACAGAAACTTCTCAATTTGATGCAATCCCAATAGTTAATTTTGGCTTTGCCTGTGCCTCCAGGGTCTTTTCCAGAAACTCTTTGCCTGTGCCTATATCTTGCAGGGTTTCTCTGATGTTCTCTAATAATTTGTGGTGTCGGGTCATAGATTTAGATCTTTAATCTATTTTGAGTAGATTTTTGTGTAAAGTGTAAGGTAGGGGTCTTGCTTCATGCTTCTGCACATGGAAATCCAGTTTTCCCAGCACCATTTGTTGAATAGACTGTCCTTGCTCCAGGAATTGGCTTTAGATCCTTGATCAAATATAAGTTGGCTGTAGATGTTTGGATTGATTTCTGATGTTTGTATTCTGTTCCATTGGTCTATCCATCTGTTTCTGTACCAGTACCATGCTGTTTTGATGCCCTGTAGTATGTCCTGAAATCTGGTATTGTGATGTCTCTGGCTTTGTTTTTGTTGGACAACATTGCTTTAGCTATTTGAAGTCTCCTGTGCCTCCATATGAATTTCTGCATCATTTTTTCCAGATCTGAGAAGAATGTCTTTGGTATTTTGAT